GGTCTGTTTAAGCTTCTAAGAATCATGTAAAATATTTGAGGTATCTAAGTATGGTTTCAGAGGCAGGGAAGACACAGATTCTCAACCTTGGCCGGGATGTCTACCAAGTCAGGCCATCTCTAACAATAGCAAGAAGGCTAAGATGGAGGCTGACTGACACAGTCTAAAATTCCTAGTTCCCTCTGCCCAGAGTCAACAGGTCTTTCTTTTTGCCAGTGTCTTCTCTTCCAGTAGTCTATGTATCATCATCATTATACAACTGCCTCAACAAGCTACAGCTGGGAATAAAGGCTACTCGGAAGAGTAAAAACAGTATGATTAAGCCCACCTAAGTTCTTAACTAGCCCACATTACTAAACATGGAGGTGATCAACCTAACATGAAGTCTTCAACCTGCCTGTAGAGCAGCATGTTCCACAGTTTCTTGAATATTTGTGGGAGGCAGGCAAGGGCTTCTCCATCTCCACTGAATGCTGGAGAGCAGACCACTAATTCAGAACACACTGGCTGTGAACAAGCAACTGGCAACTAAAAGAAACTGATGTTAGCACAGCCGCAAAAAGGAAGGATTAACCAAAGCTCTTGGGAAATTGAATCATAAGCTTTAATAAATTTCCCTACTTTAGACCCTTAATTCTGTTCTGGGGGCTTATCCTACGGAAATAATCAAGTCTGCAGAAGGGCTTTTATGCATGAAGGTATTCATCAAGGTAAAAAGGTGCATATTCAACAAGAGGAACATGATTTTAAAAGTCAAGTATATAAAAGGATATTATGCAGTAATTTAAAGCCCTGTTTATAAAAAAATGCTCATAATGTAATACAAAAGTTGAATGATCCACTTACAAAATTGAACATGCATTATGAACACAGCTCTGGATGAAGAATTTTGCACAGGGGAAAAAGACTGAAAGGATCTAAGTCAGAGTGTTAACAGAGAGAAGCAACCATGCATTCATAACTCACTTTCTTCTTTTGGCTTGTCTGTGCTTTCCAAATTTTCTTATAATGAGCAGATATTACTTACACAGTGAAGGTTTTTGTTTTGAACTACAAATCACCAAAGCAACTAAGATAATTTCCCAATATGTTCTGAGAATATCAAAAACAATGCATCAATTCCTATACACAAAGATTAACCCAAGAAAAACCCCAATGGGAAGATGCACTTCATCTAGAGTAGAGCTATACTCACTCAGAAGGAAAGACAGAAGAGTTGATCACATGGTGGGGGAAGGTCAAAGGGTGCCTAAATATTCACCACCTTCAATTTCACACATTACAAACAAGCAAGTGGTGGCTTTCCCAAGCAAACACCTTCAGAGCCACCTGCTCTTCCCACAGGCAGACTGCAGCCTCCTGAGGTTCAGCCTCCAACAAAACTGCTTCAAACATGATAATGTGACAAATTCCTTTTCAGTTGAGGTACGGTTAATGGCATAGCATTTTGTTTTGTTTTGCTTTGCTTTTCCCTTGTCCCCAAGCAAAATTTAAAGCTAAGGACAAATACCTTGAGTAGGGCACCATTTAGAACACATAAAGCAATGTTCTTTCCTAATAACCCAGACAACTGACAAACTCAATACTATCCTTCAACTCCAAGAGCCGTGGACTGATGTGTGGGATAAAGCTAAAAAGAACAAAAGCAACCATCTTTCACCTTCAAGGTTAACAGCTTCATTCACTGCTTATCCCTTCCATCCTATGTCACAGAAACTGTTACAAGTGACACAAAAAGAAAAAGAGGAGACAGAAGCTAAGATAAAGAGCCAAGGCTATAGGAAGCCCCTCCAGGCTGGCCCAATTTCCTGGTATTCAATAAAACACCCTGACAAAAGCAACTTGATGGAGAAAGTGTTTGTTTGGCTCACAGATCAGTGTTATAATCCCTGTGACAGAGGAGTCTCAACAGCAGAAGCTTGAGAAATGATATCCACAGTCAAGAAGCAGGGAGCTTGCCCTTAGCTCCTCTATTTAGAGTACTGGATCTTAGCCCAGGGAAAGGTGTCACCCCCAAGTAGCTGAGTTACCTGAGTCAGTACAACCCCCCACAGGCATCTCCAGAAGCCCATCTCCCAGGTGATTCTAGACCTCATTAGTTGACAATTGAGATTAACCACCAGAGGCAAGTATTTGTATATCCTTGATTTGAATCACTGGTTGCTTCCCAGAAACGTGGGGAAGCTAAAAGTCATCATCCTGAATGCATATATGTGCTACCATCAATAATATCTGGCATCTAATAGCATCTTATAATGAGATGGTTAACTAAGGAAGACACAAAGATGGCACCCTTTGTTTGGAACTCACTCTGCCAACCCATCCTTGGCCTCTCTAGAAACACTATTCTCTGTATGATTCTGGCATTTTGCACTTCTGGGCTTTCATGCACACACAAATCTATAGCCTTGCTTGCCTGATTTAGCAGGTTTAGGTGTTCCTGAAACTAAATTCTGATCTGAGGGCAAAACCAAGGTAGTGAATCCAATACACAGCTAGATGGGAAAAGGTCACTGAAGGCTAGCAAAATGACTTAGCAAGTAAAGGCACTTGCCACCAACTCTGATGACCTGAGTTCCATCCCCAGGTCACACATGATAAAAGGCAACACACACCTAACTAAGTAGTAATTGTTTTAGAATAAGGTATTAAACAATAGAGGACAACACTGGAAGGAAAAATAAAAAGAAGGCCATTGGTACTTCCAACTCTGGGCTGTACCAATTGTCCTCCATGACCAAGCAACACCAGCAAGACAATACTAGCCTCAGAGGTGTTGTAAAGATTTACAGAGGAAAAAGAAAACAAAAACAGGTAGGTAGGCTACACAGTGCCCAGATCTCAGGCATATTAGCCATAGTCGCCCTCTCACCACTAATACTATTCTTGCTGTGTGACTGTTATTGATACAGGCTGACACAACAAGGAAGAGATAAAGGGACAATGAAATAGAGCTCTGGGGAAAAGTAAGAGATAAGATAAGAAAATGTGAGCTGGAGAGGCGGGGCACTGAGAGAGTGGCCTGAGCAAGCTTGTGGTGGGTGGAGGAAGCTGCAGGGAGCAGATACAGCTGGTAATTACAGTAACAGCTATCATTTACTGGGGCTTTAATGTCTGAAAAGCCCTATGTTACCTAGCAGGGATGCTCCAAGCAGGATGCAGAGCTGCTGGTTGTTGCTTCATAGGGAACCACACATGTTGGCCTGTCCTTTTTTTTTTTTTTTTTTTTTTTAATTTCTTTCCCATTTGGATGGATGGAGGAGTGGTGAGGACTGGGTGTGGCCAAGTATAAACCACAAACCACAGTGAACCAGTAGTGGCTTATGATGACAAGGCAAGCAAGGCAATTGCCTTAGGAGTCAGGAAGAAAATAACAAGTGCAGGAACTGTTCACATCCTTGGAAGCGGTGATGTTAGGGTTAGCATCACTAGGAATGCTCCTGTCTGGGGACCAGACTGGTCTGACGAACCTAGGATTCCTCCTCCTCCTCAGGTTTGTCTTTCTTGACCCCTCTCCTCAGAACTGCTTTTAAGAGCCTCTCTGCATGCCTCTCACCCCTTGTTGCCTTCTTGGTACCAGGGAGGCCATTTCACAGAGATGCTTTAAAGTCAGCACCCTCCACACAGAAAGGAATACGACATCCATGGGTGAGCAGGGTTTTAAACCAAACAACCAGAGGTGCTCGGGTTAAGCAATGATTGCAAGGCAGAGCCCACGACATCTGAAGATGATTCTAGAGAGTTTAGCATTGTTCTCTGTCTCCTGAGTGCATGCTTAAATATCTTTTTTAGTCATGATCATTTGAGGATAACCTTCCCCATCACAGCTCCAGACACAAGTGCCATAGTTCAGGCTTCCAGGCAATAGCCAGGGTGCTGAGACCTTCAGAGTTAACCATGTTCCCTCAGTGAGGATGAGAGCAGACAGGACAGGGTGGCCTGGCCACCTATCTCCATAACAGAACCGCCTCAACATCTCATGCCAGTGTCCTTATCCTTCCTCAGAGCAGAACAGTGGAAGCCTAGAGCACCTTTGTTCACTAACGAAGTGGAACAGAACTAAAGGCCCTGTCAAGGAACAAGACCAGCCAGGAAAATGTCTCCTGGCTTTCAATTCCAAGCCTCACCCCAACAACCTGACCTGTTCTCACCACAAAATTTGAAAAGCCACAGTTCAAGCTTCACAGGGAAAACAACAAAGTCACTTTCCTCCATTTCCATCATCCTTTGCTTTTAAGTAAAACACACAAAACCAAAAAAAAAAAAAAAAAAAAAAAAAAGTCTCTTTTTACATTAAAATATTTTTCCTAGATTCCTAATTTTATATTTACATAAAAAAAAAACATTTTCTCTAGGTTTCACACTGTTCCCAATAAACAAGGAGCCATAGGTCCCGAAGATGAAGTAGTTTCCCAAGATGTTAAGTCCATCATCAAAGAGTTAGAATTCAAAATCAAAAGTCACTGTATCTCAGGCCCTGTTTCCAGCATTAGCCAAAGCGGTTCCTCATGCAAACTGGTGGCCAGTAGGGAAAAATAGACAATAAATCCTGATTTAATCCTAGCTTCTCTATAGGCTCATTTATAAGAGAGTGATCCTAACTGCAAAATTAGCTTGGCCATGGTGGCCCCTACCATGGCACTGGCTCTTTGTCTCATAAACCTGAAGATATAAAAATGGAAAGGTTACTGGTCAACAATGTATTTCCCCTTGGACAGATTTCCTAATCCTTTAAAAAGCAAAACAAAACAACAACAACAACAACAACCCACTAATGCATTGTTCTGCAAATGATACAGCTCTATTCAGAGAAAGGGGGGAAAAGTATACTATTATTTTGTCAAAATCCGTTACCATGGCAGCCTGAACCCTTGACTCTGCACGGCCTTTCCTTGTACAATTAAATACACCTCTGTGTTATATACAGTTGTTTAGTATTTTGTTACCTACTACCTAAAAGTGAAATCAAAGTCTCCCAATTAAGTGGAGAGTGTTCTCACCTGTGAACGCGTTTGTGGCCTGAAAACCAGCTTCCGGCATACTGCTCCCCAGACAAGCCTGTGTTTCAATTCTTAACTTGTCCTGTTGTGAAGAGACTGCCTGGACGAGGCCTCAGGTCACTTCCATCTTAGCCTGTCCAAGTCCATCACTCTGCTGGTCCAACTTGTGGGAGCATCTGATGCCCACACCCTGTGAGCAGGCACTATGTGGATGGCATACGGTCCAACAGCATGTGGATGGAGCACACAGTCACATCAGCCGTCCAGCCAGAGAGTTGACGCCATGGTGAGGTAGCTTGTCCTGCTGAAAACCAATATCCCACCTCAAATGAAGGGCTTCTTGGCCTCCAGGCGGCCAGCAGTCTTCCTCCAACTGTGCCCTCTCAGCCTCAACAGTGGCTCTGGCCTGTTCTGATCAGCTGTTCTCAGTGCTCTGCCTCTGTTCTTGCTGAAATTAAAAAGAAAGAATTCACTTTCTTAAGGACCCTGGGAACCAGTGAGATCAACACACCGACTAGGCGGTATAAGTATCATCTCAGCACCTGGGAGGCTGAGGCAAGTCACTGAGAGGACAGGAGCTAGACTACATCTCCAGAGCTGGCCTCACAAAAACACAACAGCAGATTAATTGACCTACGGAACTAAGGATTAAAATGTAGCTTAGCCATGACCATGATCTTTCTGTGACCCCCCCCACACACACTTTCAACACTCAAACATCCCTTTATCCATTTTCTAAGCCACTCTAACAACAGATATAAGCCCACAATCTCCAAACATCTTTCTTTGGGCTACTCAGACCTCACACACACTCTTAAGGAATTGATTTCCCAAAGTTTAATTCCCAAGTCTTAGAAGAGGTCTTTAGTTCATATCAACTGTCATCAGTGCTCCAAGAATGGGGAATTAAAATCTGGAAGAAGCAATTTTTAAAAGTGACTTTTACACCATAATCCAGGGGAGCTTATCCAAGGGATAAACGATGATTCGACATGTATCAAAAAACATGACACATCCCACCAAAAGAATGAGGACAAATCCAAACAACCACCTACACAGAAGCAGAAGAAGCATTTGATAAACTTCAATATCTGCAACCCCCTTCCCTGACCTGGGAGCAAAGCCCTCAACCTTAGTTATAGAAAGAACACACCTCAGCACAAAGAGGCAACATAGGATTGCAGCCAATACTACCCATTGCAGTGGGAAAGGCTGAAACATTTTCATCTTAGAACAAGGAAAGCACATCTACCAAGTCCACTCTAACTCAACACAGCATCAGCAGGCCTCGCTGCAGATAAAAAAAAGCAAGAGAAAGGAACGAAAAGCATCCAGTTTAGAAATGAAGCCAAACTGTCCTTGCTGGCAGATACCTAAGTTATTATAAGCGGAAGATAAATATTCTACTACTAAAGATTGCTAGAACGAATAAATTTGGTAAAGTTGAAAGCTAAAGTATCAATACTTTATATAAAAAAGAACAATATTTATACATCGATGCAAACTCACTGAGAAAGGAATAAGAATATTCCAATTCACAATGCCTATAAAGAAGCCAGGCAGTGGTAGCACACATCTTTAATCCCAGCACTTAGGAGGCAGAAGCAGGCAGATCTATGGGAGTTCAAGGCTAGCCTGGTCTACAGAGCAAGCTCCAAGACAGCCAGGGCTATTACACAGAGAAACCCTGCCTCAAAAATACAAAAATAAAATAAAAATAAAAAACCAAAAAAGAAAGAGGAGGGTAGGGAGGAAGGAAGGAAGGAAGTACAGAAAGCAATGCCACAAGAAGGAAGATGAAGGAGAGGAGGAGGAAACATAGAAAGGAAGAAGGGAAAAGGAAGGAAGAAAAAGAAAGGGAGAGAGAGAAAGAAATAGAGAGAATCTAATGTTGGGAACAGAAGACAACAAGGGCCAGTTTATGTTTAGATGGAGCTGATGTAGACATCTGGTGAGCTATGGGTCAGCACAAAATGATCGACACCAGATGTCTGGGGAACCCCAGAAGCAAACAGTGATGTACTCCATTGTGTAATTGTTCCTCACAGAATGCCGTTTTTGTGTGAGTTCTGTATAAATATGGCCTTGAGGTCAGAGGCCTAAGCTTTGCCAGGCTGCCTGTGTGTTTGTCTCTATATGTGTTTGTTTACTTCCATGTGGCCTGTGTACCAATCTCTGTGTGTATGTGCTTATGTGTGCCTGTAAAACCCATGTGTGACACCATGTGCCCTGGGGCCAGCCAGCAGCTACCTGCCTAGTGGCCCCTGGGCTGGTGAATTATGTATGTCATGTATGTGTGAAGCTCCTCACAGTCTCTTCAAATTCCCAGCCTTCATGGCCCCTCTCAATTCCTGCCATTAGAGCTGAGACCTCACATGAAGCAATATATCTAACAAAGAAATTAAGAATTTCTACAATATGAAGTTGCAAAACTCTGATGAAGCATATTGAAGCGAACACACACACACACAACTGGAAAGATAGACCATATTCATGGATTAGAAAACTTACCAATGTCAAAATGCTCATACTGTCCAACATGATTTACAGATTTAATATAATACCCATGAAAATACCAATGCCATTACCCCCAGAGATAGAAAAATAAACCTGAATCCATATGTAACCACAAAAGATCCTAAAATCCAGGGCTGGAGAGGTGGCTCAACATTTGAGAGTACTTGCTGCTCTTCCAAGAGACCCAAGTTCAATTCCCAGCTCACAACTGTCTATAACCCCAGCACCAAGGTATCCAATACTCTCCTAACTTCTTTGGATACCCACAAACCCATTTCTCTCTCTCTCTCTCTCTCTCTCTCTCTCTCTCTCTCTCTCTCACACACACACACACACACACAGAGAGAGAGAGAGAGAGACAGACAGACAGACAGACAGACAGACAGAAACAGAGAGAGAGAAAGAGAATCTTTAAAAGGTCCTCAACTCAAAAGACATCTAGATACCTAAATTCCAAACCTGCTGCGAAGCAGTATAGCACCAGCATGAAATAGCATGCTGACTTATGGAGTAGGAGAGAGAACCCCAAAGTGCCCATATTTACAGTCAACTGACCTCTATCAAAGACACCAAAAACACACATTAAAGAAAAGACTGGTCTCTTCAAAACATTGTGCCAAGAAACCCAGAGATTCATGTTCAGAAAAATGAAACTAGACCCCCATCTCTCACCCCATACAAAAAACAACCCCAAATGAAGCACATGCTGAACTATGAAATGCTTGCTGTTTATTAATATTGTCTTTTGTTTTGTTTTATATGTCACTAGACGCACAGGGAACGAAACTCAAAATTAACAAATGGACTTGATGACAAACTAAGCCTGTCTCATGCATTATTGAGATGGTCAATCGAATACAAAGATAACCTACACAATGAGAGGAAATACATGCTCCTCAGACCAAGGAGAAATATCCAGAATATATATCTCAAAAAAGTGTGTGTGTGTGTGTGTGTGTGTGTGTGTGTGTGCATGCGTGCCTGCGTGCGTGCGTATATGCGTGTGTGCGTGTGCACATATGCGTGCACTGAAGACATGAACAGAAAGTCTTTAAGACAAGATTTACAAACAGCCAAGGGTATATGAAGAAAATGCCTGAGATCACAACCCGGCTACACAGCCTGCAACCCTTCATCTGGCTTCCCAGGACTTCATGAGGTCCATTCCACACAGGTGTCCTGACTACAGGACACCTTTCTCTCACTGCACTCTAAGTTTCATGAGGCCAAAGGCAGTGACTGACTATTTGATTCTGTGGACCCCCTCAGCACACACAGCACTGCCTTTGCCCAATAGGTGCCCAGTGAAGCAACACTGAATGGCGATTTGAGTGAATGAAAGTAATTGTTTAACAGGGTGCTTCTGAAATACTGTTCCTCACACTAGGTAAATGGGTGCACAGGGATGAGTTCAGCAAATATTTGTTACATAAACCTGCCCTCGAGCCTTGAACTCACAAGTGCTATGCACCAGGTGGAGAGCTGCCTTCAGCTCTGACCCTCTCAACTAGAGGAGGGGGTATCCTTCACATCCTAGTGAAGATGAGTCAGTGAGGCTACTGTGGTCACAGCGTTTCCCTTCCAGTAAAGACCCTTAGAGGTCACTGACTTGAAATCCTTTAAACTCCAGCATCTAGCTCCATTTATCAAGACCACAGAGAAAGAAAAATCTACCCTACAGAGGCTAACTAGTTCAAGTGCCTAGGGTGTAGGAGAACCACGACTTACACGTCTCTTGTCCTGTTCTCCCCAGCTCTGAACCAGGGGTAGTTCTCTACTTCTAAATGCCTTAAACTTGATAATAATAATCAAGGTGGGAGGAGACTTACCAAGTACAAAAGGTCAGCCAGGCTGAGCCACACATACAAGATCACACCCTCTACAAAAAGCCTATTACCAACACACACACACACACACACACACACACACACACACACACACACACACACACACACCTGCTCAGGCGTTCTATCTATCCTAGAAAGATGGGAAGGACTAACCAGGAAATAAATTAACTTAATACTGAACTTGAAAAAAAATCTTGAAGTGCCTCCAAAACAGAGCAACAGTAACTAAGGAAATAGAGCATACCCAATGGAAAAACACCCCCACAGGAAGGGACGTTTTTAAAAACACAAACACTCTCCAAACCAAATTGAATAAGTTGTAGGATAAGTCTGCCTTGCTAGCTGTTCATAAAAACTTATGTGAAATACAGCCCTCCTGGGAACCATTTAAGAATGAAAACTTTACTTCGATTTGCTTTTAGCTTTCACACAAACACACAACACACACAACACACACACACACACACACACACACACACACAAAACCATGATAAAAACAGACTTGCAATCCTAGAGCAGGAGATCACAAGGAGATCACACAGTGGGCAGGCGCAGGGGCCAAAGCCCAGCAGAGAAGTGGCAAATCCTTTCTTTCAAAATCAGGTGACATTCAAAAAAAAAAATTATAGCATACAAAGAGTCAACTCTGGAGTTGTGTTTTATTTCCTTTCACTGTGGACAGACTGTTTCACTGGCAGAGTGTCAGTTACCTAGGTGACGGCTAGACTAAGCAACAGAAAGCTTCGGGCCATGGAAAGCCTCAGAGTCCAGGACCTGGCCCATGTCTGATGACCTCTCACTCCCACCAGAAAAGTTCCAGGAAGAAAGAAAATTACACCAAAAACTGAAGAGGTGTTTCTCAACTTCAGCAAACCAAGGCACTGTTGCCAAACGGAGAAGGGAGTACATTTGAGAATCCTATCATGACATTACCAGAACATCTCAAGTGCTGGTTCCTTTAAAGCCAACGTGGCTAGGGATTTTTATTGAGGCAGATGTGAGAAAAAGCAAGCTAAGGGTTCCACATCAAACTTGGGCTACAGTCACTTAAATCCTCTATCCAAAGGGTGTGTGGTTGAGACTT